AGGAGCTGGAGTTTAAAAGCTGCTGTCACACAGTACCACAGTGGAATTATTGTTTGCAAATAAAGCAAATTAAAATAAACACCTTTTACCACAAGAAAGTAATTAGAGTTGATTCGTGGCTTCATTTAGTTTTTCTTTCCTGACCTTGACTGTATTGTGATGGTTTTGTGCTTCCTTGGACAGTTTCTACTTGCATCTGCATCGATTAAACCTTGATCTCATTTATTATCTCAGGAAATGGTCTCAAGGTCACAGGGCTGGAAATTTAATTATGGTGGCAGTATATTAAGTGGCACATTTAAAGATGCTGAATCGTAGTAATTAATTTTTTGGATGGTGGTCTCTAGGGAACAGGTTTTCTTCACACTGGGTGTTTAGACATCCATCATGGCAATTCAGCTTGGCAGCTGTCTTTTAGCTTTAAACTGCATCATTATTCATCTTTTATGACTGTCTTTAAAAACACTAGACAACCATATCCTTTTCTATTGTAATATATGTCTGCTGCTTGCATTGAGCTATACTTCACCTTTGCTATAAAACATTAACTGAGGTTGCTAGTAGCTACCTGGGCTGGCCTCTAAATTGAGACAACAATTACCCTTCGCTGACATCTAGTGTCAAGACATGAGATATAGCTGGCGTGCTGAATGCACTGGCCTGGAAATCCTGCACTTCCCCAGCGATTCAGCCTGTCTCACCCAAGAAGCTGCAGCAATGGCCATAATTAGTGAGCACGAGGGATTAGCTTTGCACTCACTGTTGACTTTGTAGCGGCACTAGGTTATTGAATGAAATGCAGCACTGCCAAGGTCTTAAAAAGCTTGTAATGTTTAATGAAGGAATGGCCATTAAACTTGCTGGTTCAAATATTAGGCAAGATGGGACTGGGAAGTATTTAATAAAGAGGTATGAAAATATGAACTAAATTACATATATTCATTTAAAAAGCTGGCAGAAGTCCAAAATAATTGGAAATTGGCCATTGCTCTTCATGTAGAGAGTCTGTATTATGTGGGGACAATAGAATTTTAAGCAGCCCTTCTGTAGAACTTCGCAGAAAGTTTTAAATGTTCATTATAAGCAAAATAACTCCACAATGGGAAAGAAGTTCATAAGCAATCACTGGGAATATTGTTTTCTAAGTAGTACAGGGCTGATATACCTCTTGTTATATAAACAATGCAGGCCATGAACAGGAGAAATTTGCATATTCTTATATCAGTTGCTGTCGTAGTAAATATTAATATTGTCGTTTTTACAGATGGGAGAATTGAGATCAAGAGAAGTGAAGTGATTTGCACATCACATTTACACATAAACTAAGTAAGGAAAAAGCTCTAAGTTCTGGGCTAGTGCAAGCTTCTCCAGACAGGGACCTTATAAGCTTCCTTCCTCCCCCTTCCCACCCCCCCGCATCCCCCTTCTGTTCTGCAATGTGATTTGTCCTTTTCATATTTGTTCATTTTTTTTAATTGTATCCTTTGGTATATATGGTTGTGACTACTTTCTTCCACTATTTGATCTGAGGAAGTGGGTCTGGCCCACGAAAGCTCATCATCTAATAAACCATCTTGTTAGTCTTTAAAGTGCTACATTGTCCTGCATTTTGCTTCAACTACCCCAGACTAACACGGCTACATCTCTATCACTAATCCTAATGTGAGGACATTGCTTTTTTTTGTGTTTATTTTTACTGAATATTGTGCCCCACAAAGAAACTCTGCTTGCATGGTGTAGTGTTGTCAGTGCAAACCAATGTAGTTATCACATGGCCATTTAATACAAGCATTATGGGGAAAATTGCCTGTGTCATGATGCGTATGTCCCACGAGTAAAGTCACTGGGAAGCAGAATTAACAGGAAATTTGATGATAGTTGATAAGAGAAGCCCTGGAGATGTGTGCATTCATGAACACATTCACACTGAGGCTGGGGCAGCTCCTAGCGGTATTCTGGGATTTCGAGGTCCCTCACCTGATTCACTTCTCTCTAGCAATACAAGGCATCAGTGCAACACAGTGAGTGAACTGGGTACTGCAAGTCTTTTGGAGGAATATAACCTATTTGTGTGTGGCAAGCAGCTAAATAACATGGCAGGACTTTCCTCAGTGATGGATCACACATGGAGCCCACTCAGAATTGTCGTCACGTAATTTGCTTTCTTTCGGTGTATGATATAGGTTCTGTGAAAAAACACAGGGTTTTTTTCGTGTGCCTTAGGACTTTCTCACCAGAATTCCACTTTCTGCTTCAATATCTGGTCTTCTGTTCAATTGCTGCCATTGTTCTGTCAAGTTCAATCTGGTTACAGATGTTTCTAGAAGGGAAATAAACCTTCCTAGAAAGAGATCAGCTAGACCTCTCTTTAACCAAGTGCTGTGCTCTTAGAACCAGCTGAATGGGACATTTAACAACAGGGTATTGTACTAATCCTCCTTATAACACTGTGACCAACTGGAGCAGGTCAGCTCCTTTTTTGAAGCATAAGGATCTTGTGCAAAAAGGGGTTTTTGCACAAAAAGGAAATCTCCACACTGCTTGTTTTTGCGCAAAAACCCCTCGTGAAAAAATGGATCTGAAAAAAAATGCAAATGAGATTGTGACTTATTCTAATGAGTTCCTCATTAGCATATTTTCTGCCGCAAAAACTCATAGTGTAGACGTAGCACTGGAGAGCTCTAATATGTCTATTTCCAATTATACCATTTTCATTTGTTTGTGAATTACATTCCTCTTGCTTTTCATCTGTTATCTTAAAATAAAGATGGGAAGAAATTTCCCCAACCATTGTGATTGGTTGTGGTAACCATCTCACCACTATATACCCATTTGAATTACATAGATTGACTACACAGCCATTCAATTCACATCAAGAATGTCAGGGTATTCGCTAAATAAGCCCCTGTCCAGAGCCCCTCGCTGTGGAACAAGCTTTCAATGACTGCATAAATAGCTACAGGAGATCGGCCAAAGTAGTCAAAATGCTTCACTCTTCCTATAAGTCTCTGAGGAACACCCATCATTTGGTGTTTCTTGAATTTTATTAACAAACAGAAATTTAAAACAAATATTATGTGAGAAAAATAACTTGGAATTTTGATTTTTTAATCAGGGATCATGATAAGAGCTGAGTAAAAAGGGTTTTTACAAACTATTCATGGATATCTGTATAATAAAATTTGATGAGTTGTTTCGTGAATACTTACAATCCATTTGAATTACTTAGTCACAAACATTTAGATGAGTGACTTCTTTTTCTCAATGATCATGGAACCAAAAGTGCCATAAATGCTCACATGAATATGACAAGCAAATACTCCCATCCGAATGTATGTACTTAGAGTAGCAGAAAAACTGGAAGTTCTTAGTAAGTTTGGGACTCATACAATCAAAGGTCACAGAAAATATGGTGCTCAAGTGATTACAGCTCAGACAGCAAATTGCCTCTAAGTATATTTGAAGTGAGTGGTTGACAAATAATTCATAAAGTAAAAACTGTTTATGCAAATGAATTGTGGAAAAATTGTGCACAGTGAATGAGTAAAAATGGCTATCCAGTAATTTGCCAACAGAAAGAGGCTCTATTTGTCAAATGAATTACTGATTGTGAATTGTTTGCCAAGCAATAGTCATGATACACGTTTTCATTTGTGATATCTATTACTGTCAGAATAATGAATCTGAAGCATTTTTTACAAAATAAACATGGTAAATATCTTAGCGATGAAACTTATGAATGACAAAATAATGATAGGTTTCTTTCTTCTTCTGACTTTTTGTACTATGATTTTGTCCTTCTCATAACAAACCGCAACCTAAACCACAGATTTGGAGGTTAATTTGCCAAAATTACCAGTCAGGGGTGGGTTTTGAATAAAATGTTCATGATTTGTTCCATCTCTGTAAAAGGCAGATTAGTGTGTATTTGGTCATTCAGAACTTCCTCTGTTAAATTTTGGGTTTAGAAAACCAAACAAGGGGAGGTCTAGATCCAAGTCCTACTTTCAGAGCCCTCAGATTTTGTGTTTAGGTGAGTTTCCATATTTGGTTAATCTACTATCTGAGAGATCATTTCATCTGAGGTAGTGGGTTTTGCCCATGAAAGCTCATGATAAATAAATATATATGTTATTCTCTGAGGTGCCACAAGACTGCTCGTTATATATTTGAGAGTGTGTCTGTCTGTTCAAGAACTCCTCCTAAATGGAAAGAGCTAGGACCACCAAATCCAGCTTCCTCTTATCATAACTTAAAGCAATGTAAGGGGTTGGTTGTACCAGGAAAATGAGATGTATCTGGAATGGGATTGCTTCTCATAAACCATACAGAAAAGAGAAAGAATCATTAGGCAGGTGAAAGGGGCTGGCTGGGGGCACACCATCCCCGCTATCGAGGACTGCCCCAGCTCTGAGCCTCCCACCCCCCAGACACCCTTTGGGGAGGGCAGATTTGTATGGGGACATTGCTAGCTATTCCCCTTGGTCACTGTCAGGGAGCGACGGGAAAGTGCACAGTTTGCTGCATTAGTTACTCTGTGCACTTTGCTCTCGCTTCCTGACAGGATAAGAAGGGGAAGAGCAAGCAGCCCTGACATGTATCTTGGGGTGGGGGTGAGGGTTTTGGCCCTCCTGCCCTCCGCCCCACAGTCCCCAGCCCTGAGTCACTATTCATCCCCTCAGCCCTGAGTCCTGTACCCCCACATCTCTAGCCCCTTTCCCTGAGCCCCTCCTTAAGGACCTGAGCAACACTATCTAAATGTGCTAGTCTTTTATAAGAGTAAAGTGTTTTCAAAACTTAAATCTCATATAACTGGAAATTATCTAAAACTGTTCTCTAAAAACCTTGTTATTCAGTATCCACACTTGATTTTTTTTCCAGTTTTACATTTTTAAAAGTTCTCTTTCACAGGTAGTATGCAATATTTATATTTCATGTGGATTTTTGCATACTAGAACTGGCTTTCAAAGCAGTTTCTATGCAAACTCACATGACTGATATCCTCATAACCATCCACCCTGAACTACACTCAACTTTCCTAAATGAGATTTTATTGGAACTGATTATGATTAGATAAATGGGTGACTTCACTAACGTATAATACACTTTTCAATTACAAAGCATGTATGAAATTTACATTTCTTATTTGATAGTATGATATTTATGTGACACATTGCGGATGAGACCTGCTGCTGTTTACATAATGGCCTTACTTTTCTCTTAGATGAAGTGTGGTTTCCAGTTCTTTTAATATGCTTTCTGGTGGTATACTATCTACCATAACATGAAGATTGAAATTCAGCCTAAATCTATTCTTCAATTGAACAACACCAGAGAGAATTTTTTACCCTCTAAGCCTGATTTCTCCTTCTTTTAGAGCATCCTGAATGGAAAACTCTGTTTTTAATCAGGAAGAGGAGCAGGGACTTGAATGGGGGTTCTCACTTCCCAGGCCAATTCTCTGCCACCAGGATGAAGACAGAAGGACTTTGACAGACTTGCGCGCGCACACGTTTTTATCCAAAAATGGATGTTTCAGTACAAATCAATTTTTGAGAAAAGGTTAGAAAGGCTTTCTATTCATACTAGTGTGGAACAAAAACAAATTCTGAAATCCCCCAAATTGCCATGAAACAGAATTCTGTTCCTCTGGTAAGCTCTGTCACCTGCCAATCCCTCCCATTCCAGGCAGGTTTGAGAGCAGTGAAGGTATCTAACCCCTGTACAGGGAGTGTACTAATTAGAACTAGAGTAAAGAAGATATGGATTCTAGTATCTATTCTTGTTTGTGTCACCTCACACAAGTTCTGTAACTTTTGTGGGCCTCAGTTTCTTTCTCTGAAAAGAGAGAGGAGGAGGTTTGTCATAGTTCAAGACAATGACACCTGTATTTGCCTCTCTGTGGTCTACCAAGGGCATCCATTCTTGTTTCCCAACTCCTTGCTCATCACATCTCTTGAATAGAGATCTTAGTCTCTCTCCCACCTGCCCAAGGCTTTCCCAGGCTGCACTGGTATATCCCCAGCAAGGCAGACTGCCTAAACTAGCAAGGTCTGCACTTTGCATTCTCTTCAGAGTTACATGTTCCCACACAGCTCTTTCTAAGGAAACACATTTATTCTTAAAGTGATAAAAGAGCCAACATACATGATGAAAAGTGTACCAGAGCTCACCCCAACTCCAGACTGGCTCTGGTAGGCATCAGTCCTTCAAAAACCTACAATGGTTTTTCCTGTGGATACAGGTTCATAGCTGAGTGTCTCATATTGAGAATCAGAACAACCATGAATAGTTTAGTCTTTCCTTTATACAGCATGGGGCTTTGATCTTGGCCTTATGTCACAGGCAACCAGCAGATCAGGGTTCATTCCTCAGGGTGTAGCTTTGAAAGGCTGGGTTTTTGCATAACTGGAGATAGTGCATTTGAGGTCACCTATTCCTAAATATTCCCTACGAAAACCACTTCACTTTGTTTCTCCAGAAGTCCATTCTTATCTGACACATTGTTCAATACAATTCTTTGAACCTGCCATATTTGGCCCCAGAGGGATCATATGCAGTCCTGGCCCAAAATAATGCATAAACCATTCATGTAATACAATGGATCCCAAAGATTGTTAAACTTAATTCAGTAAGATCTGAATTGGAGGAACCAGCATATCTGTCACAATGATGATAACCACATTTGAAAAGCACTCTGAAATCTTCCAGTGAATAAATGCTATATATGAGGGCAGAAGTCCTAAAGACATCTGCCAAAATGGCAATTTTCCTTGGACAACATCTCGAGTGAGTTTATGCTGCCAGTTCAAAGCTGCGCCATACTGAAAATATATGGGGCAGGGTCAAATCAATTAAATTTAAAATGAAAATAATTTACATGCATGATATTGTGCTACTTATATTCTTTCTTGCCTTTTATTCCATTAAAAAATCCTCCATTGCTAGTGTGCTTTGTAAAGGATTTAGATCCAGCTTGCTGCAGAGAAGACATGGTTGTGATTAAAAGGAATTTTCAAAGAAATCTGTGAAGTATTTTTGCGTTCTCCTCTCTTTTCCCAGCCACTCCCCTTTTTGCATCCAGGCTGGAGTTTGGCCATATTTTGCCACATATTTCAACTTGGCTACAGTTTTGAATTCATTCCTGAAATAACTCCCATTAAGTTATACCACAATGAATCTAGCTTTTGTGTTATGTATTAGTATTTAATATTAAAACATGGAACACAAGAAATTTGCTAATTAAAAACAATTATGTGGCTTTGGGGGCACTATTAAAACATTTTTTAAAAGATCATGTTAGCTAACTTAATAGTTGTGTTGTTAACAAATTGCTGCTATGCGTCCACACACTATAAAAATATATAAGTTGGTGAGCAACGTGCAAAGTCTGTGCCAAGTTGGCAGGCTAAAGTAATAGTTGATGCAGCCTGATGTTTTATTAGAACAGTATTTCTAGGCTATTGACAGTTATAGTAATGAATCTGGCACATGTATAAATTGGCAGCTATAGAATGAGAAGCATTTTTTTCTCTTTATAGGAAATTCACTTTACCATGGCATTCCACAGAAAAAGATTATTAGCCATGATTAATTTAAAAGGCAACATCTTTGTGTTGCCTTTTCTTCCTTTAGGGATAAGAGCTACTTAGGACCCTTTTTTCATTGTTAGTCCGTTCACTTGATTAGCACATCTGTGAACTATTGGTAAGCAAATACATCTACATTAGAGCAGGAAGGTCCACCCATCATCTTCTTCCACTGTGTTAGGTAGAGGGGATAAAAAGCGTAGTAATTCTGACTAAAGCCCCCAAAATGTTGAAGGCATAGCATGGCACTCAAGCTTCACTGCAGACCTGCAAAAGCGCCACTTGAAGGGATCAAAACTGTTGGGGGATCCATGGATCTGTGTCTGGAGCAGGAGGTGACCAGGAGAAGGAGGGAAGAAAACAGCTGCATGCTGAGCTAGAAGGGAGAAGAGCGGAGGGAGGACAGCTATACAGTGTAACGTAGCATGGACAAACCTGTGGAATTTCTAGCAGAAGTCCAGCGGGAGTTAATGCCTCTAGCTATAGCATGAACTCTGGTTCTGAGCCTTCTAAGGAGAGGGCACAGTGGAGAGAAGGAACAGTTGTGGCAGCAAGTTTCCTTAAATAAGAGACAGTGCCTATGGGGAAGTAGCCCAGGGACAGAACAGAGACAGGGGCTTTGTATCTGTATCTGTGCCATAGGATCTGTGTCACTGGCAGAAGTTTCCTTGCAGATCTTTAAGATCAGCAGCTAGGAAGCCACCCCTGTATCATTAGGCTACCAGTTCCTCTCCCTAAGATGATGATGATTCAAACTTCTCATTGAGGCAGGTGGCTCTGGCCTGTGGTCTAAGAAGTTGTGAGAGAAGAACTTTAGTAGCAGTCTAGACTGGAGACAAGATTTCATTTGATTTTTGTAGCAAATTGCTACAGTATGGAATGTTCTAAATGGGAGCACAGAGTAATGGAAAATGTAAATAACCTCACATATCTTAGGGGAAAATCCCATAATGCTCTCCAAAAAAGTAAGACACTGAATATTCCGCTTGTGTAGACCAACAAAGGATTGATTTAGCAGAAGTTGCTCTGTAATGACTTTCTGTATTTAATTAAACCTTATGTGGTACATCATCATCTTAACACTTAGGCCTTTAATATGTGCATAGCTCCCTGTGCATCAAGAATGTGTATTCTAGTATATTGTTAAAATATATCAAGTGAAAAAAAAAAGCTGTACCACGGCAAGATATGAAATGAGGAAAAGGAGATTAAAGAAAACGTCTTGATAAGGAGAGAAATAAAATCCACTAAGTGACTCTAATTCACTCGAGTTTTGGACATCAGAGGACCAGAGTGTGAATGTGTCCTCTTATCTGATGCTTTACTAATGGAATGGCAGGGGCTTACATTTCCCCCTGAACTCTAAACCTCTTCATTTCTCTGTTATATAGTTTTGTATTTGAGAGTGACTTTCCTTTCACTTACTAGGCTTAATTCATCTATAAATACGGCTTATTATTTGCTTACCAAATGAGAGCGCAAGATGAGTAAAGGCAATGGTTATATCTTGTTACATCTTGAGATTTATGGCACAGGTCTGATTTTTCTAAGGCACTTTCTTGCTTTATTGTAGCAAACAACTGAAAATGTCGGCAACATGATGAATAATTAACTGCTGTGGAAGAGGAGGATAGGTAGGCACCTCTCTCAGGCTATGTCTAGACTACAGGCTTCTTTCGGAAGAAGGTTTTTTCGGAAGAGATCTTCCAAAAAAAACTTCTTCCAAAAGAGAGCATCCACACTGCAAAAGTGCATCGAAAAAGCAATCTGCTTTTTTGAAAGAGAGCGTCCAGACTAAATGGAAGCTCTCTTGCATGTGAGCTTTGATTGCTATGAACAGAATGGCCACCGGGGCACTTGTGCTTTTTCCTCTTTCCTCTTCTTCTGAAAGAACTCCCTCTTCCCTGTCCACACACGCCTTTTTGCAAAAGGGCTCCTTCACAAAAAGGCTTCTTCCTCATAGAATGAGGATTACCAATGAAAGAAAAACCCCTCTGTTCTTTTGATTTTTCTACCGGAAGAACGCAATTGCAGTGTGGACGTTCCTCAAGTTTTGTCGGAAAAACGGCTGTTTCTCCGACAAAACTCTGTAGTGTAAACATACCCTCAGTATATAATTCCAAAGTACCCCAAGATTTACTGAGCACAACTCTGCTCCACTTTTAATAGAGGCCATTTCCTGTTAAGACAGATTTAACTATATAGATTTTATGTAATTCAGTCATTTGCAACATGTTGGTTGCACCATGACACCCTTGGAACTCAATGTGAGAAAATGCATTCCAATGCCTGAGTTGACTTTCCCAGATGTATATCAGGAGTAATTCCATTGATATTGATGTGATTACAGTAGGGCATACCTGGAGCAAATGAGAGGAGACTCAAGTTCTCCGTATCAGTAATATACTGGTGTACACATTCATCTGGATGCTCAGAGAATTATGCAGATAATTCCCTGAGTTTTCAAGATGATAGCTCACAAAGTAATTACAGATCACATTTCATATAGAAGTCTCTGCTCACGTATGTCATTCTTTGGCTCTGATAATATGGCTGTTTTTTAAAGTCATGATTAATTCATTTGGACAGCAGGCATCTGAAGTTAACTTTGACAAACAATCCACAAACTAGTTGTTTGGCCAAATCCTCACCGAAGCTGTAATTTCAATAATTATTGACAACCATTTTTTGCCACTCTCACTTAAACTGGTATAAAATAAACAAAAGGAAAGGAAAGGATTGAATTTCTTTTCTATCTCTTTAGATTTCCTTTCTGAAATTTTAAAGCAGAATTGTTTCCTCCCCCACCTTACCATTCTTGTTTAAACTGCAATTTCTTCTCCCAAACTTCTTTTTATGCTATATTTGATTCTCCAAGTACTTCCTAAGGAGCAGTCATAAGGAAATGTGCTTCAAATTGGAATTCTTCCGCTCGGGTACAATCATGCAAACAACCTGGCAGAATTTATTTAACCTTCAGCTAACTGCTCAACCAGCTTGAAATTTTTGATAGCCCATCAGTAATGATCAAGATGGAGAGGCTAAATGAAGAGGTGCTGCTTTTTTTTTTTTTTTAACCAAGAGAACCATTGAGCTGATAACAGGACTTGAAATGCCATGTCGGCTCAGCTAGCATGGTCAAGAAGCTCAGCTGCAGGAGGGAAATAAAACTGTTAAGTTATGGCTGCCCTCCAATCAGTCACAGGGGTAATGATGTTTGGCTTTAGTCAGGTTATATGTCAGCAAATATACATCTCACAGACAGCCTCTAAGAGAGCCTTAAGATCATGTTTATTGTATTATATAGATAGGGGTCGGATGCTGATATATGGTGGTCATAGGCCACTGAAATAAATATTGTAATGAGCAGGTAAAGTTAATCTCAATACATGGGAATGTGATGGCAATTTTGATAGAATATTCGTTCCATTGACAGTGATGGCACATTTTTTTCCCCGTTATGTTTTGTGCAAATCACTTGAAGACAGATGATTTTTTTCACCCATTGATCCTAAATTTATCACTATCTTCATGGAATGTGTATTGCACCTAGCCTTTGAAATACAGCCATCGGGAGCTGGAAGTTCAAATTATGTCTTATAAACATCACTAGGCTCGTGACCCCAGACCAATTCACCTACTGAACTCATGGTGACAGATAAGTCAAAATTCCAGACACCGAGACATCAACATTTCATATTCTTCTGAAGCAGGAAATCCAGAGTGTCATGATCACTCTCTTGTGAATGTTTTATTTAGTGTTAGGGATTGCATGAATTGTAGCTGGAGAGTTAGTTACAAGGCAAGACTGCATCAGTGCAGATGCTCAAGTATTAAACCAGGGTGAAGAATTAGAATCTCTCTCATTGGAAAGAAACAGTATTGACTGAGCCCCAAGAATTTAACATTTATATCACTATATTACCTTGAATTCTCTTGAATCTTGCATCTACGGATCTCAAATCCATTTTTAAATATTACATCAGATCGTCCACTGGCAAAATCAGAGTAGCTCCACTGAAATCAATAAAGCCCAACTGAGTCTTTCAACAGCAATTTAATGGTAAATTTCATTAACCAAAACTCATTTAAGTCCCTAAAATTAATAAATGGAAAAAACCTCAAAGATACAGCCCACAAGTCCTGATACCTAGTTCTCTGCTTTAATCAAAAGTCATTACAATAGAGCTGTGGTGTCTAACATGCTAGCCACTAGTCACATGTGGCTATTGGAATGGTTGGTGTGGCTATTATTTACATTTTCAGAATAATGTGGCTAATTCGTTATACCAGTAACCACTATAGTGGCTGCTGCGTCAGAAGTGGTTGGACTCCACGGCCATAGAGACTTACAAAATTTTAAAAAGAGGAAACCTTCATTGTTTCCAACTAGGGGTCACCAAATGAAATAAATAGGTAGCAGGTTTAAAACAACCAAAAGGAAGTTTTTCTTCACACAGTTCATAGTTGGCCAGTGGAACTCCTTGCCAGAGGAGGTTGTGAAGACCAGGACTTTAACAGGGTTCAAGAAAGAACTCGATAAATTCATGGAGGTTAGGTCCATCAGTGGCTATTAGCCAGGATGGGTTGGAATGGTGACGTAGCCTCTGTCAGAGGCTGGGAATGGGTGACAGGAGAGGGATTACTTGATGAGTCCCTGTTCTGTTCACTACCTCTGGGGCATCTGGTATCGACCGCTGTCGTAAGACAAGATACTGGGTTAGATGGACCTTTGGTCTGACCCAGTATGGCTGTTCTTATGTTCTTATGTTTCTCTTTTCATCTATATGAATCTGAAACCTTTCCATGACATCAGTCATTACTTAGACTTGAACAAGGCTGCCCTATTCCATTTTAGCATTCTGTTTCCTGGAATTCTGCTTTTGTGTTTTTCTATAGCTTAACCTCTTTACCAGGATTAAGTTGAACTCGAGGGCCAGTAGACCACTATTTGTCTGGTTCTATATCCTTTGGTCCAGTGTGGGTATCCCTATCAAGAGTTCCTGCAAGTATACGTCTGTAGGTCACTGGACCACATGAGACTTTTAAAGAGCAGTGGCTTAATTATGACATTCTGATTCACTTGTTGCTAGTCAAACTCCAAATGACATACAAGGGAATGTGCCTGAGAACAAGAAAGGGGAAATGAGAATCACGAGAGAAAACAAGAAGTGGTGTCCAAGGTTTTGTGGCAAGATTGTGAAAATGTGAGGTTCTAACTTCAAGCTGGTGCGTTTGTATAATTAGTGCATAATTTATTTATATCGAAAGATGTCATAAGCCTCCATCGCCCAATCGGTACATTGGGCATCCTGACAACATATCCATTTCTATCTTTACTATGCATATTCCATCAAAAGATAATAACATCTAACTTCACAATGCTCAAATAGGAGTTTAAAAACTCCATGCTCAACAGGACCTTGCTGGAAACATGCAACTTACTCTGGTAAGCACACAAGCACATTCAGCAGTCATTACTATTATGACATTCTAGGATCCACCAGCATTTCTGAAAGTTTCCTTGTTACCACCTGCCATGTAACCTTGGGGGCCTTTATGCTGTGCAACTTCGGATCCGTTCCCTGACACCAGAAAATCTGCTCACAAGTATACGATCTCACCAACCTAGTTACTCTTTTGCAACAACCCTTCCAGTGTGGGTCTCCCCAAATATATACTCCCAGAGTTATATTTACCAGAGACTTGGATAGTTCCTCTCTAGTTTGTCACCCCTGAAGCTGTGAAACAAGCCCCCAAGTTTTCAGCAAAATGCAGGACTATGTAGCACTTTAAAGACTAACAAGATGGTTTATTAGATGATGAGCTTTCGTGGGCCAGACCCACTTCCTCAGATCAAATAGTGGAAGAAAATAGTCACAACCATATATACCAAAGGATACAATTAAAAAAATGAACACATATGAAAAGGACAAATTACATTTCAGAACAGAAGGAGGATGCAGGGGAGGAGGGGGGAAGGAAGGTAAATGTCTGTGAGCTAATGATATTAGAGGTGATAATTGGGGAAGCTATCTTTGTAATGGGTAAGGAAGTTGGGGTCTTTGTTCAATCCCCCCCGGAGAGTGTCGAATTTTAGCATGAATGACAGTTCAGAGAATTCCCTTTCAAGTGCAGATGTAAAAGGTCCTTGTAGCAGAATGCAGGTAGTTAAGTCGTTGAGACTGTGTCCTTTCTGGTTGAAATGACAAGAAACTTTTTTCTTTGTGATCCTGTCTAATGTCTGTTTTGTGGGCATTAATCCTTTGGCGAAGTGTCTGAGACGTTTGTCCAATGTACATAGCAGACGGACACTATGGGAACATGATAGCATAAATTATATTTCTGGATGCGCAGGAATATGTGTTCTTGATCTTATAACTCACTTGGTTAGGTTCAATAATGGTATCAGCAGAATGAATATGTGGACAAAGCTGGCAACGGGGTTTGTTGCAAGGGAAGGTACCAGGGTTGGTATTAGTGAGGTATGTCCTGTGGTTGTTGGTAAGAATCATCTTGAGGTTAGGTGGTTGTCTATAGGAGACTATGGGTCTGTCTCCCAGAGCCTCTTGGAGTTTGGTATCCTGTTCCAGTATAGGCTGTAGTTTATTAATAATGTGTTGGACAGGTTTAAGTTGGGGGTTGTAGGTGATGACAAGTGGTGTTCTATTGTTGGTTTTCTTGGGTCTGTCTTGAAGTAGATGGTTTCTAGGTATTTGTCTGGCTCTTTCAATTTGCTTTTGTATTTCTCCGGGTGGGTAGTTGAGGTTTATAAATGCTTGGTAGAGATCCTGAAGCTTCTGGTCTCTGTCAGTGGGATTAGAGCAGATGCGGTTGTATCGAAGGGCTTGGCTATAGACGATGGATCGTATGGGGTGTTCTGGATGGGAGCTGGAAGCATGTAGGTAACTGTATGAGTCAGTGGGTTTTCTGTAGAGAGTGGTGTCTAATTTTCCATTGTTGATCTGTACTGTGGTGTCCAGGAAGTGGACCTCTCGTGTGGAATGGTCCAGGCTGAGGTTAATGGTGGGGTGTAGGTTGTTGAAATCTCTGTGGAATATCTCCAGTGTTTCTTGGCCATGCGTCCAGATCATAAAGATGTCATCGACGTAGCGTAAGTAAAGAAGAGGTAAGAGGGGACGGGAGTTGAGGAAACATTGTTCTAGGTCAGCCATAAAGACGTTAGCGTACTGTGGGGCCATGCATGTACCCATGGCTGTGCCGCTTGGCTTGGCTGTGCCAAGTTTTCAGCTCACTTTAGCATCCACACAGTTTAGGTATCAGAGACCTGCTTACAGTAAAACTAAAGCTGATTTAATAGAAAAAGCTCCAAGTAAAAAATGACATAAGGGGGAAGCAAATATATACAAGTGACACAGAAAACAAATATGAAGATGTAATATGAAGCTTTATACAGGGCCAGCCCACAACATTTTGGCACCTGAGGCGGGGAGCTCAAATGACGCCACCATGCCACCTTTTCTCTTGCCTGCCTGTTATGTCTCTTGTGCCTTCCTTCCTCTAGCACAGCACTCCACCATCTCTGTGTATATAGAGCAGAGAAATACATATGCACCAGCAGCAGACGCAATTTTCTACACTCTGGGTCCTAGTGGGCCCCCCTCCCAGTCTGGCACCTGAAACGGTCGCCTCAGTTCGCCTCATGGTACGGCCAGCCCTGGCTTTATACTTTCTTATCAGATAAATCCCTTTTCTGATAGGAGTTAGCTATTGCCTTAAAACAGTTTCCCAGTGCACCAGCTACAAGAGGGACCCTATGTTCACAAGCAGTCTCCTTTTTCTTCACTGCTTTAGCCAGTGTTGCATAAGAAGGCTCCCAATGCACTTACAGAAATATGGGCTAGGCTACAATTTATCTTTGGATCCTTGTCCTCCCTGGATAGCGAAGGTCAATAGAAAAGTATTGAGTTCTGTGCTAGAGAAGTATAAGGTGCTCATTGCTTTGAGGAAGCTTTTTGGTCTCTGCTCAGAAAGTGATCCTTTTACACTGACAATTGACACATATGAATTGGTCACTAATCTTCTGTTTCTGGTTCAGATTATAGAGCAGGTTGTGATGATGTCTCCCTAAAGTAGGATTGAACAAGGTTAATTTTCACCTCTCTTATTCTATGTGTATGCGTAATTCCTAAAAGAGATGCAAGTAAATATTGGGTGAAGGATTTTAAGTATGTCTTGCCTCCAGATTAGAGCAATCACAAAGGGTGCGAGGTTAAGCATCTTGAGGCAAGACTGACGCATGGGTAAAAATTAATTGGTCAAGTTATTATAGTGGTTCGGGGAAACAATGAGAAGAACTGGTGGAGGTTACATGAGGTCTCTGATATAGGATATTCAGCCAACATTTGTTATTAAGTTTTACATCTTGGGGGGCAGGTAGAACTCCCAACTGTTTTCTGATGATCAGCTAGCAGTAGAGCAGTGACACTTTCCATCTGCATCTTAACAAGAGATTGCAAGTAGAGTTGGATGAAATTTTTCATGCAGGAACTTTCTTTGATGAATTAAAAAGAGTTTTGGTCAATATGAAACTATTCAAGAATTTGCCATGAATTTGCTGAATACTCTGAGCCAGGTTATTTATTTATTTTATGCGTGGGACTTAGAGGCTATTCACAGAAAGAGTGGGGGAATAGGTTGTGCCTCCTTTACAGCCTTTAGCTTATTGATCAGGGCACTCTCCTCAGAGGCGGAAGATCCTGTTTCAACCCCCCACGCACCTATGCCTGATCTGGAGTAGGAGTTTGAGATTTCCTCCTCCCACAAATCAAGATGGTGATCTAACCACTGAAATGTGGGGTATTTTTCCAATCCCTTCAGTTTAAACCTCTTTCATTTTAAAAGGGATTGTAGGCCTTTTCCTTACTCATGATAGATACCCTCCTTTCTCAGCTGCTGTAGACTGGGATTTCCTTTTAAATTTCAAGCAGTTCCCATTTTCTTTGGTTCATCATTGTCTGGTTTTAACCTGGGTTGGGCATTAATAATGTGCTTGC